TACTGGTACAAAAATAGAAACATAGATCAATGGAACAGGATAGGAAAACCAGAAATAAACTCATGCACCTATAGTCAATCTAATTAATCAGATTACATTAGTCTATGATAAACAAGCCAAAACTACACAATGTTGGAAAGACATGGAAAAAACCTAAATGTCCATCCACAGAGGAATGGATAAAGATGTGAAATATATATATATATATGATGTCATACATATATATGTACACACACACACACAGAGAATGGAATATTACTCAGCCATTAAAAAGAATGAAACAATGCCATTTTCAGCAACACGGATGAACTTAGAGAGTGTCATACTGAGTGACGTTAAGTCAGACAGAAAAGGAGAAATATCATATCCCTTATATGTGGAATTTAAAAATAAATTATACAGATGAGCTTATTTACAAAATAGAAAGAGACAGGCTTAGAAAATGAGCTCATGGTTGCTGCCACCTACAGTAAACGCTGCGCTTTCCTTCACCACAACCCTGTATCAGTAGATAGGTTTTTCTGCACACAAGGCAGAAGACTTGGTCTTGGTTCAGCATCACCTTGACATGAGGAGAGAGAAATAAGGCAAGAAGTAACGAAAATAAGTAGAGAAAGGAAAAATAAGTGAGCAGTAAAGAAAATCAGGAATGAGCTAGTAAAGAACAAAAATTTAATAAAGAGATGAAAAAAAGAGAAGATACTAGGGGGCGGATAAAAGCAATTGACCCTAGAACAAAGCAGGTTTGAACTAGATTGGTCCACTTACACATGAATTTTTTTTTTCAAATATTAAATAATATAGACTACACAATTTGTGACTCATTGAATCTGCAGATGTTGGCCATAAACACAGAGGAACCTCGGATATGGAGGTACTATGGGTACAGATGGTCAACTATAATTTATATGTAGATTTTAGACTGTGGGGAGAGTTGGCCCACAACCCACACATAGTTCAAGAGTCAACTGTACATGAATAGTGGCTGATTAACTACCATACAAATCAGGTTTAGCCAAGAACAATTAGAAGGCTTTCACTTCACCCTCCAGCCAGGACAGCTGCCACCCAACCCATGACAAGCCCACGGCCTCAGCTGTGGCTGCAGCTTCCCCTCAGTAGACACCAGATGACCTCTTCTCACAGGCTTGCCATTGAGACCCACACGGTGAGCTGTGTGTAAACGATGTGTACTCCTCTGTCAGGAGGTGTCATTGGAAAACTGCCAGAGACATTTTCAAGGAAGGATTGGTTTGGGGTTGTCTGGATGTGAAAACAAAATCACACACTGACACAACATTCTCAACATTTGGATCATCTAACACAAACATGGGTCAAGTGCCAGGCAGCTTAGAACCAAATACATACACTGTATGACCTATCACAGAACAATGCAACTGAGAGCAGAATCAAATTAAAATGAAGACCAGATTTGTCAAGGTTTGAATCTGAGTTTGGTACTACCTACTCTCACTAACACAGTAAAGAAAAATGGTAAAATCAAGTCTTCTTATGAGAGAGTCAATAAACCTTGGTTGTGATATTAACTTGATATTAACTTGGATTTTGCTGGACCTGCAACCCATGGTTCAGGTGTCTTTGACTATGAGGGCTGGCTTGCTGGGTTCCAGCTCATGACCTGGTAGAGTGCCAAGTCCAACCTGAGAAGGTTGCAGTGCATTACAGGACTGGGGACTTTCAGATACATGCTATGGAGTGATTCAGGGGACAGAATTTGGAGGATCAGTTTAACAAAAAGAATACGAAGCTCTTGACAGTCGTGTGAATGTTGCTTGGATGTTAGGTTTCAGCTGCACTCATTTGGGTATTCCAGCTAAATGTCAGTTGGATCCCATTACTTCTGTTTCTGCAAAAGCCAACAATTCTGGTTCAAATGGAATGGGCTACATTTAGACAGTGTGTCTGGTGTGAAGCTGACATGTCTTCTGGTTAACAGGAGGAGCATTACTGTTGGAGGCCATGAACTTGGAGTTTCTCTGGGGTGGGAGGTTTATCTAAATGCAGAAACTTCTAGGAAGAGATATCAGAAGATGGGTCTTGATACAATTCCCCTGTGACCAGTAGGCTTTGTTCTCCCTCTCCTGATCCCCAGTCATCAAAATAAAGGATAACCTACAAAAGAACTGTATTTTAAAAGTGTGGGCAATTTTAAGTAAAATGGCTATCTAGCTACATAGAAATTATCTATCTAGTTACCAAGGCTGTAGTCGTCCAGTCACCTAAGCATTATTTAGTCAATGAAGAAATTAATCAGATGATCTATGAAAGAAATGGAGTTTTATTCAAGCTAAACTGAGGATGGTAACTCAGGAACAGCCTGTCAAAAAGCTCCAAGAACTGTTCTACCAGTTAGAGGTCCATGCCTAGTTATATAGGTTTTCTTTTCTGATTTATTTATTTATTTTGGCTGTGCTGGGCCTTGGTTGCTGCTCACAGGCTTTCTCTAGTTGCAGTGGCCAGTGGGGGCTACTCTCTAGTGGTGGTGCACAGGCTTCTCATTGTGATGGCCTCTCGTGTTGTGGAGCATGGGCTCTAGAGCATGCAGGCCTCAGTAGTTGTGGCACTCAGGCTCAGAAGGGACAGCTCCCAGGCTCCAAAGCTTGGGCTCAGTAGTTGTGGCATATGGCTTTATTGCCCCACAGAAAGTGAAATCTTCCTGGAGCAGGGATCAAACCCATGTCCTCTGCATTGGCAGGCAGATTCTTTACCACTGGCCCACCAAGGAAGTCCTATATAGATTTATGAGACAGACGGCTGTACATTAAGTGATGTAGAGAGTTTGCAAAATCCTGATCTCTAAGTGCAAAGTCATGGTGACCCCTTACGAGTTCAAGAAGGAATGTGGCCTATTAAGGAGTTGCCTTGGTGCTAGGAAAATGGTGCTCTTTATGACTGAGCAAGTACTTCTGCCAGTACAGAGGTCTGGTGGATGAATAAGGCAGATACACAGTGCACAGTAGAGGAGACCAAGGCGGCCAAGGGGTGGAGAAATTTTTATGCTTAAATTTTCTTGACTTCTCTTAGAATACGAATCTCCATTTCATCAATTTAAATGCATAAAATTATTAAATACTTGGGGCTGATAATGAAATAGATTTTTGTGAAATTTTTAAATTAAACACATTTTCTTGAATTTTTCGTTCTGCCCTCAGCTACAAATGTTCAGAAACTCAGAATGTCAGTACTCTACAAATAAAACAAGTCCTGTGTCCAGGGTTTCTCAAACACACTATTGACATTTCAGATCACATCACTCTCCATTTGAGGGAGGGGTCCTGGGCAATGGATGGTGTTTCACAGCAGCCGTGGCCTCTATCCAGTGGCACTCCAGCCCCACAACATCACTTCCCAGTCATGAAAATGTCTCCAAATGTTCCCAAGAGTTCGCTGGGAGTAGGGTCTCCAGGTAAATACTGCAGGAGACACATTTATACTAAAACCATTATTCATTATTTATCTGAAATAAAGTGTAGGTGAGTCTCCTATATTTTTATTTGCTAAATCTAGCAGTCGTCCTGAGAGACAACAGCATCTTCGTCTCCTCCATCTCCCACCCTATTTGAGAACCACTGCTCTAATCCACAAGGAGCAATGGAGAAAGAGTACAGTGATGGGAGGTGAGGAATGTTATGATCAGATTTGTGTTTTGAATAAAATAGAATAAAATATCTGCACTCTGCTCATGGCCAGAACTGTTGTCATTGAATTTGCATTGTACAGATGACGCACTGAGAACTAATTCAATGTGTGGCTCTGCTTTTGAACAAGCAACTGAAGATGGGAGCCCAGATCCTGCCATTCACATCCTTGGGGAGTGTGATATTGATTTACACTAAGTATAAATTTTGTTTTCATTGTGTTTCTGGCACTGAGTTCCTAAAACTCTTGGATTTCTTAAGTGATCAGAGCGAAAAAAACAAAAAATAGTTTTTTGTGTTAAGTGAATGAAGTCACTTTTGGATCACACCTAAGGAAGTAGGCTAGTTGCCAAATGACTAACCACAGGATTAAAGGGTTAGAACTATCAGTACTACAAACCCTGACCCTCCTGGAGGGAAGAGGGGCTGGAGATGGTAACAACTGCCCTGGTAAATGATTAAATCAATCATGCCTATGTAATAAAACCTTTGTTAAAAAGAAAAAAAAAAAGAAGTAGTTTCAGAGGGTTTCTGGACTGGGGAAAGATGGTGAATTGGGGTTGGTGATATGCTGAGAGGGCATGGAGTCTCCTTACACTGTCCCCATACTGTGCCCTAAGCATCTCTTACATAGGGCAGTTCCCAATTTTTATCTTTTTATAATAAACCAATCACCAGTTGTTTCTGAGTTCTGCGAGCCACTCTAACAAATTAGTTAAACCAAAGAAGGGATTCATTGGACCCTCAAATATATAGCCGGTCCTTCCAGACTTGCAACTGGTGTCTGAAGTGGGGGATCCAAGGGGCAGATGTATAGGACTGTGGGATCTGAGGATTTCTCATAGTAGAAATCATAGTAGATTGGTCAACATTGAGTTGAATTGTAGAACCTCCAACCTAGTTGTCAGTGAATTTCTTGGAGCTGAGACAACCCTCCCCAACACACACACATTGCAGTTCACACTAGAATCATTTTAGGGATAACGTCTTAACTGTCAAAGCTAGAGAAATAAAGGAAATGGGTAGTCTCAACTACCCAACTCTACTTTTTTCCTACAGAATCTAAATAATATTCATCTTTTCTTCATTATGTTTCCTTTGAGAGCTTGATTTGATTAGCCAATAACAATATGGTAGGAAAAATTAATGAGAAAAACTTTCCCTTGCTCCTCAGTCTCACTCAGGATTTGCCTAGAAAGAGGGGCAAACTTATGTTCTGGGAGCTGAGACCGAAAGTTCCCAACTCAGAAAGTCTAAATCAAAAATCACCAGAATAAGAGGCATTATTTTAATACATCCTCTAGGTGTCAGTTAATTTGTAAAAAGAATTCAAAAAGACTTAAGAGTCACAGATGATGCAATTTATTCTCCTTTCCTTGTTGGAGGAAATGGAAACATTTTTCCATCTCTGAGTTTCTGGACTTAGGAGCTGGCTTCCGTGTCTCATACACTCAGGTCTCAGCGGTAGAACAGGAGCACAGCTGCCTCAGTGATCTCCCGGCTGGAGCTGTAACCACGGTGAGCTCCGTATCCATCCCAGTCAAAGGAGGAGAAATCCCCACACTGCACAGGATTGCCCTCTGGGAAGAATCCTCCTCCACCGATGCAGTGCTGGGGGGCAGAGAGCAGACACAGTGAGGGGTTGGCTGTGGACACACGGAGATCTTAATCTCTAAATCCCCTGGAATCTTTGGTCCTCCTCCTACTTGGCCTTTACCAATCCCCTGCCAAAAATCCTCCCTCCAGTGGACTCTGAAATCATGTTCTCTCCTGAATTCCTTTCCACCTTCCTTCACATTTATTCTCAGGCCTTTTAGCTCACACTTTTCCCTCAACTGATTCCCCCAAATGCTATTCCCCACAGTTCTGTCCACACCACAGTCTCCTGATGACTTTTGCTAGTATCAGCATAATCATACATTGTCAAGAAACTCCTAAATCTCAGAAGTCAGGTCCATGTTTTCTGTGCTTGAAACCCCATATGCAACTGCACCGCATGTCTCCATCTACATATCTCTAGATCTAAAACTCCAGCTGAGCAAAACAAAGCTAATTCTTTCTCTTATTGTCCTTGAACACCCTGGCTCAGGTCCTCAGCATTTCACATCTGCAACTTTACACCTGTCTCATTACCTCCCTGCCCCTAATTTCCCTGCTCTTGGATCCATGTCCTCCGCCTGGCTATACATTATAGAAACATCAAAGCTGATCAGGTCAAAATCCTCTGATGAGTCATATCTTCTACAACATGAAATCTACATCCTGGACAGAATGGAAATGTCCCTGCTTACCCTGCTTCCTGTAGGTATTTCCAGCTTCGGCTCCTGCTCCTACCTAAATGCACAAGATGCTCCAAAAGCAAACAACAGCTCAAGGGCCCTTCAACACCCCCTTGGTCTCTCAAACACCAATGATTCTGACAATGTTTGCTAGATAGGCATCTTTTTGCCCTTGTTACTTGTTGAACTCTACACACAGCTTTTGAGATTCAACAAAAATGTCACCAACTTGGAGAATCAGCTATGTGCTATCATTAGAGGTAGCAGCTCCTATATTTTGTTCCCCAGGCCCCTTGTTTATGTTGCTATCACAGGTGATACTACATTGCAATAGTGCACTTATGTCTCCATCTCGTTCAGTCTGATTTCCTTAAAATGACTGCCAGCTTTGCATATCTAATATCAAGCACTTTGTGGGTGCTCTATCATGTATTTTTATGGAAACAGGCTGCAAGGGTACATGCAAATGAGCACTAATGAACATGGCAAGGCTCCATGGAAGCCAATGTAGGGGGCGACACAACCTGCCCCACTCCCAAGGCCCACACGTGCATTATCCTCAGAATCGCAACCTATGGGCTCTTTCATGAGGACACAGTAGTCTCACTTCGACTGACAAATGGGCAACATATTTGAGGGGGAAATGAAGACACCCTTCAGGATCACATGTCTTGGCTGACAGGCGTGAAAGGAAAAGGGCCTAAGTGAATGTTCTCCCCCCTATATTTCTGACACCCTCTTCTTCTTGCCCCTCCAGTCACAAAATACCCATCAAAGACAGTCTCCAGCCAACACACCTACGGGGCTCTCTTCAACAAGACTGGAAAATCGACAAAAACCTAAAGCTTCTAGAATTTACTAAGAATATTTGAGAATGTCTTTGTGACCTCAACAAGCAGAAATACTTCTTAAACACAACATAAAATGCATATCATATATGAGAATATACATAAATTGAACATACAGTAAATTATGTCCAGTGGTCAAAAGGTATAAACTTTCAGTTCTTTTTTCTTGTCCATGCCACGCATGTTACAGATCTCAGTTCCCCAACTAGGGATCCAGTTGGGCCTCCTACAAAGCATCAGGAATATAAATATGAAGAAGCAGGCAGCGGATCAGCTCCACGGTGGACTCTTGGCTCCAGGGTGGCCAGCGGCAGTGGTGAAGGAGAGTGCCCTCTGCTCCTGGGAGTCCTCCAACGTCAGGTCCAGCCTTCTCTGGACCCACTTCCCAACTACTTCAGCAGGGCCTTTGCCTCAACCCCCAGACACAGACTGACCGACACCTGATGGCCCGTGAAGGTTTAAACGTTCACTGTGGAGTAGCAGTGGGACAGCCAGGGCACTGAGCATGTCATCCAGCTACGCTGAGCGGCTAAAGGGCATGTCCCTGTTAATTAGGGCCTGAAAAACGTGGTCCACTGGGGGAGGGAATAGCAAACCACTTCAGTATTCTTGCCTTGAGAACATCATGAGCAGTATGAAAAGGCAAAAAGACATAACACTGAAAGCTGAACCTGCCAGGTCAGTAGCCGGCCAATATACTATTGGGGAAGATGGAAAAATAGCTCCAGAAAGAATGAAGAGGCTGAGCCAAAGCAGAAATGACACCCAGTTGTGGTTGTATGTGGTGGTGAAAGCAAAGTTCAATGCTGTAAAGAATAATATTGGATAGGAAGCTGAAATGTTAGGTCCATGTGGTCAAACAGGAGATGACAAGAGTGAACATGGACATTTTAGGAATCAGTGAACTAAAATGGACAGGAATAGGAGAATTTAATTTAGATGACCATTATATCTACTACTGTGGGTAAGAATCCCTTAGAAGAAATGGAGTAGATCTCAGAGTAAACAAAACAGCCTGAAATGCAGTACTTAGGTGCAATCTCAAAAATGACAGAATGATCTCATTTCGTTTCCAATGCAAATCATTCAGCATCACGCCAATCCAAGTCTATCTCCCAACCACTAATGCCAAAGAAGCTGAAGTTGAATGATTCTATGAAGACCTACAAGACTTCCTAAAACCAAAACCAAAAAAAATATGTCTTTTTCATCATGGGGACTGAAATGCAAATGTAGCAAGTCAAGAGATACCTGCAATAATAGGCAAGTTTGGCTTTGGAGTACAAAATGAAGCAGGGCAAATGCTAACAGAGTTTTGCCAAGTGAGCACACTCATCATAGCAAACACTCTCTTCCAACAGCACAAGAGACAACTCTGCACGTGGACATCAACCAATGGTCAGTACCAAAATCAGATTGATTATATTCTTTGCAGCCAAAAGTAGAGAAGCTCTATACAGTCAGCAAAAACAAGACCTGGAGCTGACCATGATCAGATCATGAGCTCCTTATTGCAAAATTCAGGCTCAAATTGAAGAAGTGGGGAAAAGCACTAGGCCATTCAGGCATGACCTAAATCAAATCCTTTATGCTTATACAGCAAAAGTGACGAATAAATTCAAGGGATTAGATCTGATAGAGTGCCTGAAGAACGATGGATGAGGTTTGTAACATTTACCAGAAGTGGTGACCAAAACCATCCCGAAGAAAAAGAAATGCAAAGGCAAAATGGTTGTCTGAGTAGCCCTTACAAATAGCTGAGAAAAGAAGAGAAGCAAAAGGCAAAGGAGAAAAGGAAAGATATGCCCATTTGAATGCAGAGTTCCAAAGAATAGCAAGGAGAGATAAGAAAGCCTTAAGGGCCTTAGGAAGCATCACTACAAAGTTGGAGGTGATGGAATTCCTGCTGACCTATTTCATATCCTAAAAGATGATGCTGTTAAAGTGCTGCACTCATTATGCCAGCAAATTTGGAAAATTCAGCAGTGGCCACAGGACTGAAAAGTTCAGTTTTCATTCTAATCCCAAAGAAATGCAGTGCCAAAGATTGTTCAAATTACCATACAATTAAATTCATTTCACATGCCAGCAAGATTATGCTCAAAATCCTTCAAGTTAGGCTTCAGCATTACGTGAACTGAGAACTTCCAGAGATGTACAAGCTGGATTTAGAGAAGGCAGAGGAACCACAGATAAAATTGCCAATATACGCTGGATCATAGAAAGCAAGGCAATTTCAAAAAAAAAAATCCATGTTGCTTCATTGACTATGCTAAAGCCTTTGACTCTGTGGATCACAACAAACTGTGAAATATTCTTAATGAAATGGGAATACCAGACCACCCTACCTGCCTCCTGAGAAGCCTGTATGCAGGACAAAAAGCCACAGTTAGAACTGGACATGGAACCATGGACTGGTTCAAAATTGGGAAAGGAGTATGTCAAGGCTGTATATTGTCACCCTGCTTATTTAAGTTATATGCAGAATACATCATGCAAAATGCAAGGCTGGATGAAGCACAAGCTGGAATCAGTATTGCCAAAAGAAATGTCAACAACCTCAGATATACAGATGATACGACTTTAATGGCAGAAAGTGAAGAGGAACTAAAGAACCTCTTGATGAAGGTGAAAGAGGAGAGTGAAAAAAACTGGCTTAAAACTCAACATTCAGAAAGCAAAGATCATGGCATCTGATCCTACCACTTGATGGCAAATAGAGGGGGGAAAATGTGGAAACAGTGTCAGATTTCATTTTCTTGGGCTCCAAAATCATTGCAGATGGTGACTGCAGCCACAAAATTAAAAGATGCTTGCTCCTTGGAAGAAAACCTATGACAAACTTAGACAGTGTGTTAAAAGGCAGAGGATCACTTTGCTGACAAAGGTCCCTATAGTCAAATCTGTGGTTTTTCCAGTAGTCATTTATGGATGCAAGAGTTGTACTATAAAGAAGGCTGAGAAGCAAAGAATTGATGCTTTTGAACTGTGATGCTGGAGAAGACTTTAGCAAGTCCCTTGAACAGTAAGGAGATCAAAGCACTCAATCCTAAAGGAAATCAACCCTGAATTTTCATTGAAAGGATTGGTGCTGAAGCTGAAGCTCCAATATTTTAGGCACCTAATGCAAAGAGTTGACTCACTGGGAAAGATCCTGATGCTGGTAAAGATTGAGGGCAAGAGGAGAAGGGGTCAACAGAGGATGAGACGGTTGGATGGCAGCACTGACTCAATGGACATAAGCTTCAGCAAACTCCAAGAGATAATGAAGGACAGGGAAGCCTGGCATGCTGCAGTTCACCGGGTCACAAAGAAAGGGACATGACTTAGCAACTGAACAACAACAAGAGTGGAATTCCAGAGTCCTAATCACTGGACCATCAGTGATGTTCCAAACTTTTATGTATAAAATAAGCCCTGGGGATGTAATGTACAGTATAGTGACATTAGTCTTAATACTATATTATACATTGAAAAGTTACTAAGAAAGTAGATGTTAAAACTTCTCATCACAAGAAAAAAGAATGGCAACTGTGAGTAGTGCTGGGTGTTGGCTAGACTTGTTACAGTGATCCTTTCATAATATATAAAAATATAGAATCACTACACTATATATCAGAAACTAATATAATGTTATATAGGTCAATTGAATGTCAATTAAAAAATAATAGCTACAGTTTAAACCTTATGTCCACAAAATGCCAGAAAAGAGTAAAAATGCAAGCCACATCAAACACCCCAGACAGGCACACACGCATGCGCGCGCACACACACACACATGCACACACATGCACACACATGCGTGCTCGCACACATACATACACACACAAGCCAGGGACTGTCCCCAAACTCACGTGCTCAGTGTTGCAGCCGGTGACCCTCATCCCAGCACACAGGGCGTGAGCTGCTCTCTCATTGTTAAACACCCTGAACTGGACAAACCCTGCAACAAATTCTCCTGGAAAAGAAGAGGCAGAGAAAGCGCCAAGGATTCAAAGGATGAACTGGAAATATCTTCCCTTTGACCAGCCCAGGAATTCCCTAAATCAACAGGTCCCGTTACAGCCAATCTGTGGGCATAGAGCTCAGCACTTTTCAACCGTGGCTGCTACATCCTGACCTTGAAAAAGGCAAGAAGAGACCCTCCCTCCATCTGGGGCAAGAAGACCAAGGCTCAGGCTCACAAAAGCCACTTGTCTGTCTAAGGCTCATAGGAGAAATGGGAGTCCACCAAGAGATCAGCAAGAAGACCTCCAGAGGTTCAGCAGGAACAAGCAATGATCAGAAGTAGCCGTCGGTTTCTGCTGGCACACTGCTCATCCAATCACCATGACTTTAAAGTAAAATGACTCTTATTTTCCCATGAAAGACAAGTTCTGTGGCTTTATCATGCTAAAAAAAAATGTCTTACAATAAGAGCTATCCATCATAACAAAAACAAATTTTTCTCAATACTTTGCAAGTTGTTCTCACCTGTGCACATCAATTAGCTTTTAACTATTATAAGAGTCTTACAGTGACTCAGGAAACTCAAACCAGGGCTCTGTGACATCCTAGAGGGGTAGAATGGGGTGGCAGGTTCAAGGGGGCGGGGACATATGTATACCTGTGGTTGATTCATGTTGATGTATGGCAGAAACCAACCCAATATGGTATTGGTTTAAAATAAATAAATAAACTAAGGTGAAAGTAAATCAAAAATAAATAAACTAAGGGGAAGAAAGAATCAAACAGGGTTATTAGTTAAGAAGCCTGAGCTTATAGTTTTTTCATGATGGTGATAAATATTTTTGTGACATAACAAAAATCCATGTCACATTCCTAGAAAACAGCTTGGCATATTGTACATATTTAATAAATGCTAACAATCATTAACTTCTCTTATTTACACTTTCTCCAAGAGTGCAGAGAAGGGTTGACGACTGGGCTTTGGAAGCAGATACTCACGCTGACCATATGGTGAGTAATAAGATGCAGTTTTCTCAGCATCACCAAAGTCATAGTCAACAGGAATGGCTGGGCCATTGTCGCTCCAGCAATTCCCTGCTCCGTACTTCACTGGGTATTTCTGCAGGGACCAAAAAATACAGATTGTGGAAGATAATAGAGATACTGCCATTCTGGGCAGTAGAGGATTTAATACCCTCATGTGACATTATTCAGGAAACAGTATGAATAATGCTGATGTATTTTCCCCCCTACCACCCATAGCTAGGACCCTAACCAGCCTCAAGACCCTTATCCTTTTCACTATCTAGCCACCCCCAATCCTCTCTCCTAGGCTTCCTCCCCGTCCTGGCTCATAGTTCCTCTGAAAGAGGCAGCGCACTAGTTCACAGTGACCCAGAGGTAGTAGAAAGCCAAGCAGAGGCACTTAGTGATACGGACAGAGCAGACTTACTCCCTATCCCAAACACTTGACTCTCTGTTCACCAAAGGTAGTGTCCCCAACTCCCAGTCGACAGCCCCATGTACCTGGTAGAGTCCAAACAGATTCTGTCCCAGTCTCTGGAAGAAGCCAGTGTCGGTGTGGTACCTCAGCAGGGAGCTGTTCCTCCAGTGCTGCAGGGGGGAATTGTTGGGCACGTGCCAGATGCCCAGGTCCTGGGCCTGGATGTCGTAGTAGCCAGGGTTCTGCAGAGGGACACACACTCAGCCTCACCAGCCAAAGACCCAGAGGAGCAGCTTTAGGTTGAACTGAGAGCTCTGGGCTCCAAGGGGCCAGGTGGCAATAGTGCTCTGACCCCTCCCCCTCCAGTAGATGATGAGGAACCACCACCCAAACAGCCTTGGAGGAGACGCTGTGGTTCAAGACATGGACTTCTGTCTTTCTTCTTCTCCAGTCCTTCCTCCATGTCCCCATCTCCCACCCTCCATTCCACATGCTCTGCTCCAGCCACACTCAGCTCCCACCCTTTCCCACCTGGGTGCTCAGTACCTTGTAGTCATCACTGGTGGCCGCCTCTGCAGACCCAAACGTGTTGTAATTGGCCCAGTTGCCATCCCCCTCTGGGTAGTCAGCACTGTTGCCCTGCTGACTGGACCAGCGATCGCCCAACGTGCATTTCCCACGCATGTTGTTCTCATGGACACTGGCCACCAGGGTCCAGCCACCACCCCCAGAGGTCATGTCACAGAAGGTCTGGTAGACGACACCATTCTCAGTGCGGAGGTAATACAGGCCATCTGCAGAGGGAACCAACCCAGAGACACCCTGTCTTAGAGCAGGGAGTCCCTGTCAGGCCCCACTACCAGAAAGAACTTGGGAAGTCAGAAACATATCCTGGAGGCTCCCACACATACCTACTTGTTGGAGGACAATTCTCTGTGGGCCATCTAAGAGCAGGGACACTGACTGCCTTTGTTCCATGCTACCTTTTCAAACACATTGTAGAGCAAACATCCTAGGAGACAGAGATGGTATCTCCCTCCTTCTGACCACTCGAGGCCAGAAATCAGTGCTCAACCACATCTCAAGTCTACATCAGGATGTGGCCTCTGCAACTCAGTGCAAAGGGTGGGCATTGCACTCCTCATTTAATGAGGTTCAGATTCAATAAGTACAGAGTTCCTGTCGAACAAGAGAGGAATAAACTAATCTACAAAAGGCTTGTAGTTTCTTTACCAGCCCAATTTGTCATCTGCTTGGAAAACAAAATACATGTGCAAATGTCTCCTGGCCCTCTTAACATTAACCTGTTTAGATGGGAATCAATAAAAAGCACAATAAAAAGTGGATGCTTTGCCTACTGCTAGGGTTGTGAGTAACAAACTTCTGTGTCTCAGCCTCAGAAGGCTCAGGTTTTCTGCCTCCATCCATAAAGTTGTAGCAGGCTAACACTTTAACGTATAAGGAGTAGAAAACCTTCATTGCAGCTCTGGCCACCACTGTCATAGCCACCAGGAACATCACATTCTCCTTGTATTCTGAAGATCATGTCTCCTACAACTAGATAGGAATGAAAAGCCTCAAAATTCCCACTGGAAATCTCCTTGGCTGGAAGCTGGGAGTCAGAGCAGCAGAGACTAGTGGACACACTCCTTTTGCTCTCCATGCCTGGGATCTGTTTAACTGACAAGTGGCTGAAAGGATAAGATGCTGGGTCAGTTGATTACTTACCACCTGCTCTGTGGCAACTTGTTTTGATTTCCTTGCAGCTTCTAGGTAGGAAAGACAGGTAAGGGACGCAGGTTTCCTCCTCCCAGACCTTCTCAACAGAAGGGGTCGCTGCTAAACAATGTGTGGATAATCCTGATTAACAGTCTGGTGCCACTCACACCAGCCATCCTGATCATCAGCTCCCAGGCCCGGCCCACTTCACAGGTTCTTCATTGGGCTGTGAAGCCCCAGAGGTAAAGATCCTCTCTGCTAAAAATAGCTGACCTCCATTTAGTTCAGGTTTGACACTTGCACTCTTCTGTTCAACTAATTAAAAATGAAAACTATCATAATGACTACTAGGAGGAAGGGAATTGTGAGGATGAGGACTAGGGAAGGATGTTCCCTGGACATAGCCCTGACCACCCAGCTCCCTCCGGGAACTCCAAAGCCATGGTCATAGGAGCAGGGGCAGACAGAAGGGAGCGCAATCTTCACCACGGCTCCTCTGAGCCCCCTCAACCACACAGAGGCATAGATCGGGGCCCCAGGACAGATCTTCAGATCGGACCTCAAGAGGGGCCAAAAATCAACACCCAAGTCACAGCTCATGTAGATGCTAAGTGTGGCTTGTCTGCATCTCCATGACTCCCCCTCTGGGCCAGGACTCAGCATCCAGCCCAGCTGCACTTCCTCTGCCCCACTGCACACCTGGGTGAGCTGATGAAACTGCTGCTCCTGACTTACCTGCACACCGCCCTCTAGTGGCCACAGGGAGGAACAGCAGGAGGAAGAATCTGGCCCCGGTACCCTAAGAAAAGAGATGCACAATGTCATTGGCAGATTCATCCTTCTCTCCCTTGTATCCTGATTCTTTGAACTTTCTGAGTTAGGAAATCTCAGATAGAAAATGATGGGATTCTGGGCATTCTGTAACCTCCTGGAATAGCCCCCAACCCATCCAACACTACATACAGAGACCATGGGCTCTGTTCTCTAAATCTCCCCATTCCTGAGACCAAGACCTGAGCTGGCATCATGGCTCCCCACACACTCGGATCTTGTCTCAGACTCAGAAACAACTTCCCGAGAGCATGGAGAACTTCCTCCTTCCTTCCCCACAGATGCCAGGAGCTGAGAGTTCCCAGCCAGGTGGAGACTCAGAGCTCCTGCCTCTACAGGGCCCTGCAGTGGGTGAAGTGCTGAGCCTTTATGGAGGAAAAGGACCGTGCGGGCCCTACCCAGCCCTGCCCACTTCGGGCTGCAGGCCCCTCCCTCGGGCTGGCTTCCGCTGTAGGGCCTCGGCCCCTGGCAATGGAAGGAGTGAGTGACCGGCTGGCGAGGCAGGAGGCAGCGCTCTTGGGCACACAGGTGACACCATGAGCAGGGTGAGCCCTGCTGGGTCAGAGCACACACAGTGTTCCCTTCCGTCCAGACTCTCAGGATGGACGTTACAGTTCTTCCTCTTCTGTGTGCAGGTAAACAGGCCATGAGACCTGTTTGAGTCAAAAGATGTAAGCAGAAAGGGTCACTTTCAGGCTGAAGACTTGACCAGACAGGGCACAACTCTACACCATCCTTTTCCCAGCCTTAGAAAATAGCTTAAACGTGGGGCACTGGTTTGGTGGTGTGTTTATAGCTGATGAGACTTATCTTGGAGGTTGGAAGGATGGCGTTCTGTGTTCTGTTTTAGGGGAAATGTTAAATATGCTGCCTGTGGTATCTCAGGAGCTGTGTGAAGTACAGACTGCAGTGGAGCTTTAAAGGAAGCCCTAGGTAAACAATGTCAGCACTGCATGTCAGCTGTCTTGGTTCTGTATTACAAAAGGGAGGGTCTGGGAGAAAAGGTGGTCTGTTTTGCAACTAGGAGTGAAAGGAATAACTGCTTCTGGGTCTTCAACAGGCAAATGGTGTGGGAAAATTGTCCCTGTTAAATCATCTCCTATCAGGACACATACACACACATACACACACATTAATATATACGTGTGTGTGTGTATCACTCCCGACATCTTTTTCTTCATCCCCCTCAGTCAAGAGCAAGTATTTACTTTTTGGTATCTCATGTGCGATATAGTAATGAGTGATAAAGACACAATCTAGCAGCTGAGGAAGTTGAGAAATATTGTTTCTACACTGTATATCAAACTTCTAAAATTTAACTAGTAAAATTGAGGGACTAAAGCAATACCTTTTTAATTACATTTAGATTGAGTATGTTTCCAGACGCTTATTTGTGTGCTGACATTCTGAAATACAGAGCTTTTAAATCACAAAATCCCAATATTTTGGGTATAATAAACTTATTTCAGTGTTTTTAAAAAATATGAAATCTGAACTTGTTCATCTTAATATATAACCAGAGGAACAATTTGCATTAAAATTTCCAATTGAATAAAACTATGCTCCTTTTTAAAAAATGTCACCACACCCTTTGTTCATTTCAAACCCCATATTGGTTTTACCTTAGTAAGTACACTAGCATTTCAATCCTACAGAATATCACAGTGTACTAGAGTACTGAAACATTGTTTTATAGTTACAACGTCTTTGTGGGAGACCCAGAGTTTAGACCTAGTAATGGTCTATTCTAGCAACTTTTTAAAATTCTTACTCCTATACATCTGAGAATTCTTTTTTTAATGTTACTTCAGACTTTAACTTTAATGTTACAGATTTATTGAGAAATTCATTTCCTTGACATCCTCAATATGGAAAATGTTAGCTTAGCAAACAAAGGAAACAATCAACATTTTCTTAAGAATTGCCATAAAAGACAAATAAATATTTGAAGTGCAATACAGTTAAATAGTACAAGCTTGTCTCAAAATTATAAAAGTACTTATGAGGAAGTAGTTGAGCTTGTCACCCAAAAGGGAAGTAAATATTTGTTCTCACAGAGCTCACTGACTCTAGAGTATGAATAATGTCACATTTTTTATCATAAGAGGGATTTGTACTAAATTAAAGTTTCACAAACTGCCTTCTGAAGATTGGGGCAGATCAATACAATTTCTAGTGGTTGGCATACAACATAAAAAATATAAGAACAGAAATATGGATTTTCTATGGAACAAGATATATTCAAGCTAAAAAACTACATTTACTCTGTGATTAAGGCCTTTCTATTTTGGTGTTGTTAAAGTACCTTTCATTTAAAATGGTATTGGTAACAGACGTTCTGTTTTTGCTTTTTAATCTTTAATGGGATTTTTTTTTAATTTTGTAACTTTTTTGCATTCCCCATAGAAGTATATGAACTTCGTGACAAGCTCTAAGTCAATGATTCTGTGTTTAGCCTAGTCTAGGCCTGAGAAAACCTAAGTCCTCAACTCCATGGGGCAAAATACTTGGTCAGAGGTAGCACTGGGCTTTCTCCGTAAAGGACTCAGCAGCAATTTGCAGGGACTTTATAAAACAAGCAAATGATCCCAACATAGCAGGGAATTCTTCATCCCAAGAAGCTCATGACATGAGGGAAAAATAAGGGAAAGCTCCTCCACCCTTTGGAAAGAGAATTCAGGGGCTGTTCTGGTTTGATGATTGAATCTCCCACCCTTTTGGGTTGTATGCCTATGGTAGAACTATGTCTCCTTTCAATTATGTCCATCTTTGCTTTATATATTTTAAATGTATTCTATTAGTTGCATAAATGTTTATAATTGCTGTATCTTTTTGCTGTCCAGAACACTTATAAAGTTATAATGTCCTTTGTCTCTTTCAACTACTTTTTTTTTTAAAGTCCATTTTGTCTGATACTAGTATACCAACTCTGGTCTCTTTTAATATTTGCATGGAATATCTTTTTCTTTCACTTTTATTCACTTTCAATCTATTTGCATCTTCAGATCTAAAATGAGTCTCTTGGAGATTTCATAGAGTTGGAACAAGTCTTTTTCTAACTTTGGCTGTGCTGGGTCTTGGTTGCTGTGCACCGGCTTTCTCTAGTTGTAGTGAGAGAGGGCTACGCAATGGACGCGGTGCATGAGCTCCTCGTGGCGGTGGCTTCTCTGGTTTGCAGCATGGGCTCTAGGCACAGGGTCTTCAGTAGTTGTGGTGAACAGGGTTACTTGCTCCATGGCATGTGGGATCTTGCCAAGCCACAGAACAAACCATGTCACCTGCATTGGTAGGCATATTAACCACTAGACAACCAGGGGAGTCCTGATCAAGATTTTTTAATCCATTCTGCCATCTCTGTCTTTATATTGGAGAATTTAATTCATTTTAGTTTTAAGTAATTACTGATAAGAGGGAATTTACTTCTGTCCTTTTGCTTTGTTTTCTCTATGCCTTATAGATTTTCCTTTCTCCATTGTTGTATGGCAGAAACCAGTGCAACATAGTAAAGCAATTACCCCACAATTAAAAATATGTAAAAAATTTTCCTTCCTCATAGCCTGCCTTACTGGCTTCTTTTGTGTTTAGCTGATAATTTTTTGTAGTGAAACTTTTAAACACTTTTCTCATTTTCTTTTGTGTATATTCTATAGTAGTTTATTTGTGCTTAACATGGAGGTTACATGTAACCTACTAAAATTATAACACCATATTTGAATTTTAACAGTTTAACTGCAATATCACACAAAAACTGTTTCCTTATAGTTCTAGTCCCACCTCTTTCTGTTGCTGATGTCAAAAAATTACATCTTTATATATTGTGTATCCAGAAATATAAACTAAGTGTTTTTAATGTGTTAATCTCTTAGATTGTAGGGAAAACTTGTAGTCATAGAGTTTGAATAATGTGCTTACTTGTGTGTCTCTCCCTGCCATTCCCTTGACTTCACCCTCCATTCCACTGTACTCACAACTCAATGAACATATCTTTGTTCTCTTTTAATCCATTTCAAAGTTTATCACAATTCATAGCACAGGAATTCTTCAGCAAAATTGTCCCCAAAACGCCTTTTTAATAAGTAAGTAAAACTGAACAGACGTAGACTTTTCAAAACTCGCAAGAATGTGATGTTGTTGTTCAGTGGCTAAGTTTGAACCCATGGACCTTTGCAACCCTATGGACTTCGCTATCCTTCACCATCTCTCAGAGTTAGAGCAAACTCATGCCCATTGAGTCGATAATACCATCCAACCATCTCATTTTCTGTTGCCCCCTTCTCCTCCTGCCTTCAATCTTTCCCACCATCAATATCATTTCCAACGAGTTGGTACTTTGCATCAGGTGGCCAAAGTATTGGAGCTTCAGCATCAGTCCTTCCAATGAATATTTAGGATTGATTTCCTTTAAGATTGACTGATTTGATCTCTTTGCAATCCTAGGGACTCTCAAGAGTCTTCTCCAGCACCACAGTTTGAAAGCATCAGTTCTTGGGGCCCAGCCTTTTGGAGAGACTTCCATGGTGGCTCAGACAGTAAAGAATTTTCCTGCAATGCAGGAGACCTGGGTTTGATCCCTAGGTTGGGAAGATCCTCTGGAGAAGGGAATGGTAAACTCACTCAAGTATTCTTGCCTGGAGAATTCCATGGACAGAGGAGCCTGGCAAGCTGGGGTTGCAAAGAGTCAGACATGACTGAGCAACTAACACGTTCACTTTTTTCAGCATTCTTTATAGTCCAACTCTCACATCTGTACATGACTACTGGAGAAAAACATAGCTTTGACTATACAGACTTTTGACAGCTAAGTGATCTCTCTGCTTTTTAATACACTGTCTAGGTTTGTCGTAGTTTTTCTTCCAAGGAGCAAGCATTATTTAATTTTATGACTGCAGTCACTATCAGCAGTGATTTTGGGACCCAAGAAAACAAAATCTGCCAATGTTTACATTTCTTCCCTATCTATTTGCCATGAAGTGATGGGACCGTATGCTATGATCTTAGTTTTTTGATTGTTGAGTTTTAAGCTAGGTTTTTCACACTCCTCTTTACCTTCATCAAGAAGCTATTTAGAATCCAAGGACGACTGTCCGCAAGACCTGCTGAGTCAGAGATCTCCACTGTGTTCTTGGGCACTGGCTTTTGGAAATCAAATAAAGGTCTTTTCATTGTGGGTGAAGTTCCTCTTGGAACTAGATTGGACCTAGGCTGGTGTTTGGAGAGAGATCAAGCCCTGAGCCTCTGAAGTGGGAGCATTGACTCCAAGACCAGAGAGCTAACCCCAGGGAGTATCAAACAGTGAGAACTCACACAAAGGACCATTTGAATACAAGGCCCAGCATCACCCAACCGCCAGTAGCACCCTGTGCAGGATGCCTCACTAAACAACAAATGAAACAAAAATACAAACCCAATCATCAGCAGACAGGATGACCACCTCACTCAGCCTTGCCCAGCAGAGGAAAAACAAACAAACAAACAAAAACTCAGCACAAATCTCACCCTATAGGAAGCTTGCACAAACCACTGGACCAACCTTAGGAGGGCAGAAACCAAAAGGAAGAAATATTTCTACCTTGAAGACTGGGAAAAGGAGACCTCAAATACAATAAGTTAAAAAAA